AAAAATTTTAATAAGTACAAGATTTTTTTAACGATTTAACGAAAATAACATTGAAACACCCGAAAAATTAGTACCGGTAGATGAAACATATGAAAATAAAATACCATACTTGAAAATTTTGGCTATAAAGAAAAAACAAGTCAATGGATATTTAAGTTGCATATATTGAAAATTAATGTACGTAATTTTCTGTGTGTTGAAATGAAACAAAAATTAAAACATTCATTACGATTCAATACAATTTTCCACAACAATTGGTAATGTTCATTATTAAGGAAAATTTAGAAGCAAACATGACATAGCATTATGTTTTTATAATATAATGGCATATTAAGAATCTTGAAAAATAGAATATTTTCAGAATATTATGAATAGTGAAAATTTTCAAAATATTGTATGCAATTATCTTAAAATATGAATTATAATTAATGACAGACATGACATCGATAATTTGAAATAACAAAAGGGTTTCTTTTGTTATCCCATTATTATCTGTAGCAATCAAATAAATAGGAAAATTGAAAATTTTCCCTACTCTTAATATTTACATGAAAGTAGTGGCATGTAGTTTTGTAGCAAAATGCAAATAAAAGATATATATATAATAAATTGTAAAAGAATAACGTAATTAGGAAGTGATACAAAAATGCTGCACAATTGTGTAAGAAAAAAGAAACAAAAATAACTCTAAACAATAAATTTCTTTTGTTTACATATTAGTTGATTAACTGCATCATGGCAATAAATGCTCGTTTATTTTTTTTTCTCTGCCATACAAAAATAACACAAATAAAAATTACAATAGCCATTAATCATCACAGACTATAAATTGGCATAATTTAATTCAGAATTCTCAGAGCAATCATCCTTGTTCTGTTTTAGGTTTATACATCTTGTCTTTTCCTGATTTTTAGCTAATTCCATCAAAGCTAATGCACCTAACCATTTCTGACTGTCCTCTGGAATCGGTAACTTAATAAAATTCTTTTCTTCTTTAACAACAACTACTTTTGTCACTGCTTCAGACTCAACTGGAATTATTTTTGAAATACTATCTTTATTATTATTAATATTATTGTTGTTGTTGTTGTTGTTGTTGTTAGAACTTCCAGCTAACATTAAAACAGTTGGTCTCATTACATTCTCACTAATATGAGACTGTATAAATGTATCTTGCTTAACTGTCTCCTTTTGATCACAATTTTTTATTTTTACATTGGCCTGATTCGATAAAGATTTTGAATTCTCTTTAACCACCTCATTATCCCATTCAACTTCAGATACTGGCTGACTAACAGTTTTAATTTGAGATACATTATTTGCAAAATCATTTGTGTTATTCTGAGAATTCCAATTGGTTTGAGACAATGTAATCGGTGCTTCAAAAATATACTTTTGTTCATCTTTTATAGCTTTCTTCAGAGATTCTGTGTTACCATTAGTTGTGTCCCAAGATACATATGTGCATACATAAGCAGGATCCACCTCAGATTTTGTGAGTTCAATTTCTTTGCATGCATTCAAGCATGAAGTGCCCAATACATTAGACGAGTGATCAGTCAATGCATTCCAATGCATCTGACCATCAGTATTCTTGAATGACGTTGTTACTGGTATATTAATAGGCTTATTATCCCAATTTAAAGGTTTGGCTAACTGTTGCTCCAAACAAGCTTCTCTTAACCACCTTTTCTTTGGTTGAAGTCTGTCTAGGGGTCTCCTTAAGGGAGTAATAGGCAACTTTGCAGATATTTCCTCATCTTCCGAAGTTTGCAATATATTACATGTGTCCGCTGGATCTTCATCCTGACTATCCTCTTGACTATCTTGACTTTCTCCACAGTATAATCTTTGATTGGACGCCTTACAGTCTAAGTTCTCCTGTTCACCTGTTGCATCCATCATCAGGCCCTTCCTAGACTTGACTCTTTTGTGATTTTCAGAACTACTTTTCCATGTTTTCTTCTTGCGTTCATTTTTTCCTGTTGGTGTTCTATCCTCTCGTTCTCTGGACATTTTATAACGTTCTAGCCATCTAGTAACATCGTGGGGTAATTCAGTATTTTCGGATACAGGCTTCAAAACAAAGTCATCAGAACGGGTCAAAGTAGCATATGGATGGTCTGGACAGTGCCTATTTGCATGCGTAAATCTCATTTCACAGCCAGGTTCAGTACATAAGAACGGCTTCTCTCCTGTATGTAGTCTTTGATGAGTCTTTAATTGACCTGATTGCGTAAAAGCTTTTGTACAACCAGGATAATCACATGGATACGGACGCTCCCCTGAAAATAAAACCATGCAGGTACTTATTATAATGTCACAATATACAAAATTACATTAACCCGCAGTAGTAACTAAAAAACTGTAAATTTTACGAAATTTTATTCCAAAAAGCATCGTTACGACATTCGAAACGATCGGAACGAACAATTCCATCCGTAAAACACTCGACTATTCGAAGGGAAAAAATCCCCGCGTCGTTTCATTTATTTCGGACAAAGACTAGATGGGCTGAATTTTTCTATAAAGCGTAAAAATCTATTCGAACCGTAAAATGAAACAATTATCGTCTCTACGAGGCGTATATTAACAGAGAAAACCGCATAGCATAGATTCATTCGTATTATTTATAATTTTCCGGGGTAAGCCATTTAACTATTTAAAGCACGCATGATGGCGATTGGCGGGACGCGTGAGCGCATGAAGCCTGCAGTTCAGCGCGAACCTCATTGCACTCGTGCAGCTGTACAAGCCACCGTGGAAGCGTACGAAAATTCTGCTCACAGAAACTTTCCACGAAATAAGATGTACAGTTTGATGAAGCAAAGAAAAGATGTAATAACGGCGTAAAAAGAGCAGAGTCGGCGCATACCTGTATGGGTACGCAGGTGTGCTTGGAGGCTCTTTTCTCTCGGGAAGACCCTGTTGCAGTAGGTGCATTTTATACTGCTCGGCGAGGTGCTTCCCTGCATCATAAGGTTCGAAAGAGCGTCCGCTCTGGGCCGACCACGACGATGACTTTCAGAACCACCGGAACGTGATCGAGGGCCCGTCCGTGAGCTCACCACGCTATTCTCGCGATACTCCGGCGAGGAGCAGGAGCTGCCCGGGCTTAAGTTCACATTTCTTGCCTCCTCGCCCCAGTTCCACGGATAAAGCATGGTATCGCACATCGGTGGGCTGCACGGCAACGCTTCCGTCAAAGGGCGCGACTCACGCTTTGGCGTGTGCAATTCCATGTCACGTTTTTCTCACTTCACCGCGCAGCTTGCCGGTCACCTTACAAAATCAACGTTACCACGCACGACCACTTAATCTGTTGTCTCTGTTGCTCGTGCGCGCGCGCGCTCTCTCTGCCCGCTACACTCCGTGTGCCGCGTGCAACTGGTATACCGCCAAAACGAATCTGCCCGGCGCGATACACGATATACGCGTGCGTAACTATGGCGGATGTAGCTGATCACGCGTTCGATTATCCTCGAATTTTCTGACAGTAAGAACAATTAAAAGGCAACGGCGAATGTTTTTTCTTAACACAACACCAACAATGTAATCACGTCTCAACTAGCTTGTTGTATCGTTGGCATCGTCATAACGACTGCTTCTACACGCGGCTTCTGATCAATGCGCGCGCATCCCTCCCTCGTGGCCACCCGGCCAATCGCAGGCCTCCGATTGTGGAAACTCGTGCTGCGTGAAGTCGACTATTGGTAACTGCATGCTTGTGTTTCGCTTGTACGCAGTATTTACATGCGTGCGACACAATGCATTTTACTTTTAATTCAATTTCCAAGTCTGTTCCTGCATTGTTGTTACGCGTACTGTATATAAAATATATATTATATGCGTATGTACATATGTATATACACATTTTTATATAATATATATATATATATATATATATATATATATATATATATCACACATGTATACATATGGTGCCATACCGATGAGTTTCAACTTCGTAGTTTAATATATGCATTTAAATGAACCCCGTTCTTATAGAAAGTTACTCAAATTAAAAAACGTCTATGAAGGAAACCTATGTTATTCTCAATTGACAAATTCGCAGTTAATTAGACATTTGCTATCGTATCTTCGTAGGGTTTAACATTTAATTTTATGCGCATGAAAATTGTGCGTAGTATCGATGGGCTAGTTTACAATAAAATTTGTTAACGACACACAAATCAAGAAATACGTATGTTTCCCATTTTATCTTGCTAAGAAATTACCGTCGACACTTTTCTGTCTAATAATTATTTTTGAATTGCAACGGAACTCTCGAAATGAGAAGAAAATAGTCATATTTTGAAAGTGAAGCAGAGATATCACACAAAACAGCTCTTCGGAGTGTTGTTTATTTGAAGCATGAAATATGGTGAATAGAAACGTGTAAGAGCAGTAATCTCTGTTTTTAATGGGTAGTTAAGTTTTTATTGTAAAACGCGCCGCAGATTCGGGGAATGATAGAAAAGTTGTTGCAAAACACGTATTTTCGAACACATTCTCTTGCGGCACGGAGAGACATATACGAAATATTCAATGCGCGGGCTGCATTAAAACTGAAAAATTCATTGAAAATAGTTTTAATTTTGATCATCTATTTAAACACTACGAAATAGGATACACAGCGAGAGCACCAAATAACAATCACAGGAATATTGCACAGTAATAAGATAAACCAGAAAAGATAAGAAAATCTATTCGGTCGTGCGTTAAGTAATTCATGAAAATAATGCCGGTTCCTTTGAGAACTAAGGGTACGGATATTATGCCGGTTTATTGTCGTACTATTGGTATTTTAAAAAGTTTTCAGATTTAAAATTAAGAACTCGAATTTAGACGACGTTTTTCGATTCAAACGTCTATAAAATTATTGATAGAAATAATATTGGTGGGGGGATGGCGCGCTGGGTGCAAGACAATTATGCGGTCCCTCCCTGAGCGCAGACCTCGTGGTGAACTATCTCTGGACTCGGCCATATTGAAATATTGAATGTCTCTGTTACACAAGGGCTCAAGAGTAGCCGTGAAATTTTCGCGTGATCCTCGACGAAGAGAGGATAAGAGACATCATGGAGTCCATGTACAGCATTAACGTTACCAACAAGTTCTTGGTACCGTTGTTGGCCGACGACGCGGATCTGCACGAAATAGTGCAGCAACGGGAACAAGAGAAGGAAGCTAAGAAAAAGGAGAAGCTCTCGGAGAAGGAGAATAAGAGTAAGCAGCCGGACGCGCCAAAGAGTACCGGCAACAAAACGCAAAAAAGCCGCGTGATTAAAGACACGCAGCAACCAGTGTCGAAAATTCAAGATCCAAAGAAAGATCAAGGTTAGTAATTTTTCGTTGGGATCGTTGCCTCGTGCGCGGTATTATGGCCGTCGCTTTGGTCCCCTCGTGGGTCCATGTGCTTTTGATATTTTGTCGTACTTTAAACAATATTTCCCACTCTCGGCCACTGATTTCGTTTCGTTTCCTCGTCTAATGTGCGATACGCGTTAAACACGATCTTATTTATGCAGAAATTACCCCTTTGCTCCGAATATTTCTTGCAAACACTCAATAATTTCTCATGCCGCATAGATCGGGGTTCATTTTGCATCGTAAAAATAGAAATTTCCGATGGTGACCCCACGTGTTGTTCAACGAATAATTTTCTTGTAATTCCGTGGTTTATTATGAAAATTTTATGTTAATCATATAATGAACGACGATATTAAACTTTCAAGAGAATATGTATTACTGAATAAAAAGTGTTTATATATCACAGCATTGAGCAGGCAGTTCTATTAATATTTTTGTTGGATATAATCAATATACTGCTTTTAAATCGTGTTAACAAACTTGTATATATGCTGCTTTATAAATAAAATAAAGAAATTTATAATTTATCAAATTGAACATACTCATTATGTGTAATATTTACAATACTTTCAAATGCACAATAAATCATTGCATTTTTTTTCACCTTTTTGTTACAACATTTCTATATTGTACACTGCAATGAAATCTTTAATGATAGAGTACCGATAAACAATACAAATTGCTAGATTAGCAGTGATGATAATTTCTATTGATGATTTGAAGGTTAAAACGGTGTGTTCTTTAAGTTGTTTAATTACCTTATTAGGCGATAAAAAGCCACCACAATCGAGAGCTGGTGGAGGGGACCGCAATGTTAAATTCTCTGGGGATAACAGGGAGGAACGTTATAACAGACGTAATCGTGAAGAGGGAGAGAGAACGCCTCGTCCTCAAGGGGAAATCAGACGTGGACCTCCTGGGTTTGTGTTACGAAGAAACAAATTGTAGAACATTCGATAGATATATGCGTATATTATATTATTGTGTTTTCTCAGCGAGGGCCGTGAAACACGAGAATTCAGAAACTCTAATGATACTCAACGTGGTGAATATGGAGAGCGTAGGGGGCGAGGTGGAATGCGTGGGATGAGCCGTGGACGCGGTGGACCACGTGGTCGTGGAGGATACGATAATCGTGGCAAACGTGAATTTGATCGTCAATCAGGCTCCGATAAAACGTAATTAATCTTTCATAGCTCATTTTGAACCATACAATTTGTATTCTTTTTTTCGTTTTTTTAATTAATTTCATACATGTATGTGAATAGCGGGATTAAACCAGTGGATAAGAAAGATGGTGCTGGTAGCCATAACTGGGGTACCCACAATGATGAAATTGAGTAAGTCTCAAAGAGTTTCTCGCGGTTTATTAAAGATACTCTGCTCGTAGAAAAGAATCGAACGAAGAAAGAAATGTTTTTTTTTTGCAAATGTTTAGAGAAAGTTTGAACCAAGAGAGTCAAGATTGGCCTAACGAGAAACCCGAGGGAGATGCTCCTCAAGCATCCCCAGAGGTAAAAGAAGGGGAAACAAATCCGGATGCAACTGAAGAGAAGCCTGTCGAGGAGGAATCTCGTGAATTAACATTGGACGAATGGAAAGCTTTGCGTAATAACAGAGCGAAGCCTCAATACAATTTACGCAAAGCCGGGGAAGGTGAAGATATGACTCAATGGAAGAAAATGTACGCACTCCAGAAGAAGAAGGAAGGTGCCGATGACGAGGACGATGATGAAGAGGAATATGATGCCGCTGCGGAATATCCTCAACGGGTTGGAAGACAGAAACGTGTATTAGGTATCGAGATTCAATTCAGTGATTCTCGACGCGGTTCCGGTGGACGTGGCAGAGGACGAGGAGGCCGTGGAGAACGTGCCAATGGTCGTGGATTTGGAAATCGCGGTGGAACTCCTAGAGATGGAGATACCCGTGGTGGTGGTGGCGGTGGTGGTCCTGTAAGTATTCTTACGGCTAACGATCGTAATGATAATAGTCGGTACAACTAGTACAGCTGGTAATTAAATGATAAATTAAACGGTACTGCGTGTTACTTGTTTTACAGGTTTCGCAAACCGAGCAAAGGTCGCCCCGAGGTCGTCAAAATGCTCCGAAAGTAGACGATGAGAACGACTTCCCCTCATTAGGATAGGTGGTTTCGTTCGTTATCCACACAGTATCCCACCATTTCCGCTACCATCAGTACTACTATCACAGATAAAATTACCATTATTACTAAAAATATTACTATCAACAATTTTGCATCAGTGACAAGGTTAAATGCATAATACAATATCCTCGACGCAAAAACATTATCCGTATTATCGTGAATGCGTGAATTTATCTGGGCAACACAAGTGCCTGATGCTTTTCAAGTATTTATGGTACTACTGAGAAGTTTCATTGCGCCCAGGTACACCCTTGCAAAATGAGATACGTAATTTATATAAATAAAACGTGGCGCTTGAACGCGCTCTTACATATTGGCAGATTGACGCAAACATAAGGAAAAAAAAAATGTCGCATGATATGAATACTTTATATCACGATCCTTTTTTGTACTTGTAACACAGATCGGTTTGTCCGTAACTAGTATCCAGAGGCTAGTTAACAGATGAACAGTAAAAAGAACGAGGCTGGATATTCATGGACTTGTTAATAATCGTGAATTTGATCAACACTAGACTAAAATGTATGGATGAAAGACTTTAAGCGGACCAGCAGGAATGTAATATCAAAAGATGAATTCATTTTACGATGATAGTTTGATGCTGCTTAAATCCGTATGAAACCAGACACAGTCCCGAACTGGAA